TGTCGGACATACCTCTTTATGTCCCTGAACATTCCGGGCCAGTAGTAACGTGCCGTCGCTCTCGTTATCGTCTTGCGGATGCCCATGTGTCCTGCGCTTGGACTATCGTGAACTTCCTTCAGTACTCTCTCACGTAGTGGCGCTGCCACGCATAGCTTCCACGGTACTGTGTCTTCATCATTCATCTGGACTGCGATGTGTCGATACAGTTCGTTGTTTACAATTGTGTAGTCCGGGAACTTTTCTGGTGTCCTCTTCACCTCTGCCATTTTCTCGGTCAGCCACTTGCAGGCCGTTGCCTCTTTATCCTGCACTAATATGTTGAGCTGTACGTCTTGGGGTTATCGTGACAGTGCATCGGCAACGACGTTCAACTTACCCTTGCGGTACTTTACATCGAATGTATGTTGCTGGAGTTCTAGTGCCCATCTTGCAATGCGTCCTGGCATCGGTCCTGGCATCGGTTTGTAGCGTGAAATGGTGGGAAAAAACTGGACACTAATACCGGTGCTTCCGATAGTGCGCTCCTTAATTTTTCAAAGGCCGTCTGCTGCTCATTGCCTCATTTCCATCGGCTTCCTTTCTTCAGTAATGACGTCAGAGGGTGTGCAACATGCCAAAAATCCAGAACAATTCGCCGATACCATGACGCCACGCCCAGAAGGCGCCGTAACTCGCGCGGGTTTGTTGGCGGTGCCAATTCTTTAATCGCCGCANGCCGCGCCCAGAAAGCGCCGTAACTCGCGCGTCATCTTGTCAGGATCGGTGTGAATCACTTCTTCCCTCACCACATGACCCAGGTATTTCAAACTCCTTTTGAAAAACTCACAGTTCTCTGGGTTGATCTTGAGGTTCGCCTGTCGCAATCGTCGAAACACTGCTTTCAGGTGTTCCATGTGTTGGTCTAGCGTCGCACTCGTGATAATAATATCGTCCAGATAACCAAACGCGTGCGGTTCCAATTCTGGTCCGATGACTTTGTTCAGTGCTCGTTGAAACGTCGCAAGCGCTGAATGTAGCTCGAACGGCATTACGCGCCACTGAAACAGGCCACGTCCTGGCACAGTGAACGCAGTATACTCCTTACTACTCTCTTCCATCGGGATTTGCTAGGACCCATTCTTCACGTCCAAGCTGCTAATTAATTTAGCGCTGCTCAGTCGATCCAAAATGTGTTGGATTCATAGGAGTGGGTATCCATCCGGTACCGAGCGCGCGTTAAGTTGCCGATAGTCCACGCAAAGTCTCCACTTTCCGTTTTCCTTCTTTACGAGCACGATTGGCGCGCTGTGTGGGCTGTGCGACGGCTCGATGCACTGCTTCTCTATCAACTCGTCGATCTCCCTGTTTATTACCTCCTGCATTTTCGCGTTTTTGGGAAAGTAGCGCTATTTTATGGGTCGATCACCTCGCATTATATCTTATGGGCGGCGATGTTAGTCGTCCTCGTTATCTTCTCGAATGCGAGCACCTCCTTCTTTAAGAAATTTTCGACTTCCGTCGCATCCTCAATGGATGTGGGTTGTTCATTTGCGGTCTTTTCGCCTTCCTCAGCTCTCTCTACTTCGCGTACTTCTAACATGGTACATGCAGCCTTCGTTCGAGGACGAGTAACTCGCTCCTATTCTCTTGATCGCCCACCTTTACTACCGCCTCTACCGCTTCTGTGACCGATATTGGTCTGCCCTCTCCCATCACCACTCTCTTGTGCACTCTTAGCGACCGCTCGATTCCCAGGGTGTTCGCTGCTCTAATGCATATAAAACTTCTTGTTGCTCCTGTATCAACCGCCGCTATTACTGCTCTACCATCCACTGTTGCTCTGGCGATTACTCGCCCTTCCGCTTGCTTGAGAATTGATATTACATTGACTAAGGTTGCATTACTGGAGACCCCACTCTTCGTCGCGAATGGGTTCCTTTAATTTAATAATAATTTATGTTTTCATCCGTTAAATATGCTTCATATGCATATACAAATAAATAAAAGCTTATACTTGTATTTCACACCAATGCTACACTTTTTCCAAGTAAATTTGCATAGAAGCAACACGGTGCCAATGCTAAGGGAGCGGAGCGAGAGAGACAACTGTCAGTTTATCGAACCTTGTGTTATTGAATCATGATATCTAAGTACGTATGTATGTACTTCAAATTTCAATATAGATTTGTACATATGTATTTCGATTTCACGTATGTATGTCTATAATTAGCAATTCGTTAAATATGTATAAATAAATTCAACAGT